CCCCCCCCCCAAGTCGCAGGTGGTGCATCCCTAAGATCCAGTTTGAGGAGTGGGCCAAAGAACATGTGCCTCGCATTGGTGTCAATGTGGACCAACCCCAGATGTGGGCTTCATATATGTATAAAAGGAAGGCACTAACGTGTGACCATTACTTTTAACAGCCACCGTGACGGTCTGCAAGAGGGCTGCAATTGGGACAGGGTGAAAGGATGTATGCATCGAGTATCCTAGACCCGGCACTGTTTGATTTTTTTTTTTTTTATCGTTTTTCGCTTTATCTTGTACCCAGACCAATTCAGTCTAAGTAGGACTGTGGTACCACTGTTGGGTATCCTTGTTGGGTAGTCCACTGGTAGGAAGAACGAACTTTCTAGTAGGGTTTGGGTCTCGATATTGTCTTGGCTAGTTCCGGCGTGTTTGGTTTTTTGCTTTTTTTCGTGATGTTTCTCGTGATTTTGTTTGTAGGAAGGAATTGACTGGTATATAGGCAATCATTGCAAAGTTTTCGACCTCTTCAATGGGACTAACGTCGCGCGATGCCCTCGAGCGTCCGGATGCGTGAGGGTTGAGCAGACGGGAGTGGGCAAGGGTCTACATAGTTAGTACGGGTTGGTAGGTGGTAAACCTCCCGAAGACGACGGCGTGGATGTCGTCGAAACGCGTCGAGGACGCCGATCTCAAGTGTTAATTCTTTCAATAAGATTTTGCAATTGTCTGATACTGTGCTGGGCGTTTTGTACGCCGGCGTACTCATGTTTTATGCATGAAGTGTGATTCTATACCTGACTGCGGACCGCACACGATAACTTGCCTGGAGAACGAATTTTGTCGGGCGGAGTGACCGTGCAGACTCCATCACCGTGTTGACTAGATCATTACAGCTGCGAAGACTGATGTCTTGGTTTGACTACGAAATTGAAGACTCCAGGAGTTTTTGCTCAAGTAGGAGCGGGTGAATTGAAGGTGCGTGGCTGTTGTACCCCTGTTACAACGTGGTGTACGAGCTCTATCGTCAGATAGGGATGCTGATGTTCGTATTGTTGAGGATCTTCTTGACAAGAGGATGTCGGGGAATGAACGGCGTGATGAGGACCGGCAAGGGGGGGACTACCGTCGTACCGACGACAGATATAAGGAGAGTCGATGAAGGACACGAGGAAGGCCGAAGGAGATATAGGGCACCAACATGCTTCAGATGTCATGAGCCCGGGCACTATGCTAATCAGTGCCCGGACAGGCATCAACGGAGTTTTCGGTCGGATAGACCGTCGACATCGATGGAATCGAGAGGAAGCCGATCTCCACGACGCACCGATTATAGACGGAGATATGAGTCACCATCAGGAGGAGCTGGAGGAATCCAGGTTACGGTTGCTGAACTTGGTAAATTAGTGGCCGCAATGAAGGACTTCTTTGACGAAGCCCGTTTGAAGAAGTTGGAGAAAGAACGTAAGAAGCAAGAAAGGAAGGAAGCGGAAGAGCGCGAAGCCAAAGCGAGGGAGCGTGCGGAACGCAAAGCAAGGAAGCAGACTGAGAAGCATCGTAAGCAAATGGAGCTCGAGGCGGAGAGACGCGCTGAAATGAAGAAGGATAACGACATCCAGCTGGCTATTCGCCTAAGTGAATTGGAGGATAGCGTTACTTGCAGGGTGGAGAGCGTGATCGGACCTTTGAGGGAGTTGGTCAGACTCGGCAAGAAAAAGGTGGCATATGCTACCGACAGCGAATCGTCGGACACTCAGGCGGGTGAAGGTAGTGATACTAGCGTCACTCAGGAGCTGAGCGCTAGGACGGAGCRGCWATGTATCTCGGAGAAACGGAAGAGAGGTCRKGATCCAGTGCTTGAAGGTAGCCCTCCTATGGAGGGTCCTYCGAAGCGCACCCCTAAACGTGGGGTATTGAAGYYGGCGTTGCTTTCAGCCAGACGGACAAGATCCAAGGCTGTGGCGAAGAATCCCGGATGCGTGAAACGGGTATCTCCGGTGAAGACACCGTTGAAGGCGAGGAAGGGACGCACACCAAGGAAGGGTACTCCTATGAAGTCACCGGCTCTACAGTTCACTCCTGCTACTAAAGGCGCTCTACAACAACTTCGATATCGGAGCAGCGTTATGGAAGAACTGAAGGACTGCGACGCAACCGAGCTGCAACGACTCTGCAAAGAGGAGGGAGTAACATATGATGGGAAGGTGGGGGCGATCTTCGCGATTGCAGATAGCCGCACTCGGCAGAGGTTTGGTCAGGATACTGTCGAAGCTACCGAGGTCATTGAAGTTGGTGACAGCGAATCTGGGAAGGAGCAAGAAGCAGGGCGGGAACACTGATATGCCTGGGAGATACCGAAGTTGTGGAAGCTGTGTAAACTGTTTACTGACCTAAGAAGTGAGTCGACTGGCGTGGATGGGCGAATCGAGGAGATTTTGCGTCTGATTGTTTTGCGGCTAACACTGGCATGTGAGATCAGGTGGATGCAGAAGTGTATACCTGCGTGGGAGAGACTGTATGATATCCATAGGATTGAGTCCTTGCGGCTTACAAACGTTGTTTATGTAGGCGTATCCCCATACTGCAAATACTTCTATATCGGTAAGACTAACAGATGTGTTACGGTGAGGTGGCGTGAACATGTGCGTGCGTGTAGATCTAGAGTTCTTTCGCACTTTCACCGGTGGCTGATCTCATTTGGGGTGGGTAGCTATGTGTTACTACTTGTCGATCATATTGAGGGTGATGATCTGATTAAACTTGAAAGTTTGTATATTAGACAATGGTCACCTTTTCTGAACACAACGGGAACTCGTAATTTCTCGAAGAAGGAAACTAAGCCTGGTAAAAGGGAACGTGCGAAGGGGAGACACAATCAAAGCGTCAGAGCTGACTGTAATGCTTTGAAGTTTCGGCGATCAAAGAATGAGCCGTGGCGCTTGGATTTTTATCAAGTGTTGAACGATGGGTTCTCCACGGGGGAAGTTAATGTGAGCATTCTGGTGGATGGGGGTAATGTTTGGCACGGGGGATGGAAGAGGGTTAGACGTGCCTTTGGGGATACGAAGATTCGATGTGAAGGAAAGGACCTGGCCCTGAAGGACGCAAAACAGGCTTTGCAAAAAGGAGGTGTTTTCACGGTTGTACACTGGTGGAAGTGGAAACCAAAATGCCGTTATTTGAAGTCGGTTCTCTTGGGTGTTCTGTGTAATCCACGTAAAGTACAGGAGGTGTTTGATTGGAATCTCGGATCGCTGCTCCGACTGTATTGTGCCATCAAGGACTTTAGTCGGAAGTCGACTAGGAAGTATCTACGCCGGTTAATCTCCAGAGTTTTTCTTCGTCGTTTTGATTTTAGTATGAGCGCTGATCTCGTCTTTCGTCTTAAGTTTGACGACAGGATCCGATCATCTGCAGTAAGGAAAGTGGTGAATGACGCGTTGATGGGTGGGGATTTACCCCAAGGCTTTCTGAACCGGGCGCGGAAGAAAGTCCGAATTGTCTGTGTTAAGAACCCGGCTATCTCGGATGTTTTGCACAATCAGCGAGTGTTTTCTTCTCGCAAAGTGCTGGTCTGCAATTGCGCAAATTCGCCTTACCCAAAATCGGGGGGGCACGTCCGTTTCCGGCTTAGTGAGATGGAAGGGATACACCCTCTATTGCGTAATGCCAAGAATGTCGCTCGAATTGTTAGGGAAGATAGAGTTGAGCAGTTGCACAGGGAGTTGATGGAAGGCTTCAGTACGTGGAGAAATTGGAAAGGTGATCTGCCACGCATACCGCATGAAGTATTACGTCGATGCTTAAGTGATCGTATTGCGGAGAATGACCAATTATCGTCCGCCCACCTCAATGACCTAAAGGTAACACTTCAGGGATTTGTATTGACCCTTCTTGATCGCAACCCAGGCGAGACATTGGTGATATGCCCGTATCTGTATTTTGAAGCAATGATGTCTACCTACGTTATGAATTCAGGATATAGAATTATCCAGGCGGCACCTACTGAGGTGTTACGGGAGATCAGAGAGGAGGTGTCGACGAGAGGGTTGACGAAATTTGCTAAATGGGATAAGGATGGAAAATTTGGCTCAGCTTATGTCGTACCGAAGCAGAAGGATGTGGAGAGGTTTAGACCTATTTGTCCTACGTATAGTGAACCCATGGTAAGAACTGGTCGTGCGGTTTCGAGGGGCTTGAATCATTTGTTAAAGACCTTACCTAAGGGTTGGCACTTTAACCTGATATCAGTGTCCGACTCGCCGCGAGGCTGAAGGGTGTCAACCAAAAGATCCTAAGGCATGATGCAGGTGAAGAAGTGTATACGGCCTCCTTCGATATTAATGCGATGTTTAGCAAGCTCTCGCATGATGAGATTTTGACCGCGGTTGATTGGCTGTTTGACTTTCAAAGGTCAAAGGGCCGACAGTCGGTACGGGTGAATACTCGAGGAAAGGGATCAACCTTTGGCATAACCACAGGTGCAGATCATTGGCGTGCTCTGGACTTTACGCAGATGAGGGAATTTATTCATCTGGAGTTACAGCATACTTACACGTTTGCCACAGGGGTCCTGCTCCAGCAAGTGGTCGGCATCCCCATGGGTAAGGCTACAAGTCTACCATTGGCCTGTATCTTATATGCATATTCGGAATACCGATTTGTGAAGAGCATCGGTTCGGACTCAGGCCTGGTTCATGGGTTAAGACTTGTTGATGATGTGATGATCACACTCGCGGTTAAAGAACCACGAAGGGCTCAAATCTTGAAATTATTCCAAGAATGTTATCCGGTTGCGCTGACCTTGAAACGTACTGATGAAGGTGCATGTTCTTTTGAGTTTCTTGGTTGCCAAGTACGGACGAAGCGATCTTACCCATATCTGAGTTGTGTGAAGATCTCTAAGAACGAGGAAAGTGTCTGGACGAGTGAGCCGCTGCATATTCAATGTGGGCAGTCGTTCCTTTCATGGGGGTGTAAGAAACAGAAAAGTGTGGTAATATGCAGCCCGACTGCATAAGATCGATCAGAACACAACTACTCGTCATGAGATCCCGATGAGACTTAGGACCCTGAAGAGGGAGTTGGTGAAGAATGATGTTCCAGAGCACTTCTTCATGCGAGTACTGAAACGGTTTGCATTCAGGCGTGACGATATTTGGCGGCTCACTGTTGAACTCTTGTCGAATGGGATTACTCTGTAGGATATGCTTTGGCCCGTTGGTGTTAGTAGATAGGTTTGCTCGAATTGTATGAGTGTTATGTTTGGTGTGTTGGCCCGTTGGTGTTAGCAGATAGGTTTGCTCGAATTGTATGAGTGTTATGTTTGGTGTGTTAGATGATGGGCGTTACCAGGTCAGGAATGATAATTGGATATGCTTGTCAAACAAGGAGACTGAATTGAAATATGGTAGATGGATATACACAATGTGCAACTTCTGCCCCTCTACGAGTATGGTGCATGGTGGGGATGGGCGCGATAACTAGGACAGGGTGGATGGATAGGTGCATTGTGTATTGGGACAGTGTGAAAGGATGTATGCATCGAGTATCCTAGACGCGGCACTGTTTGATTTTTTGTTTTTTATCGTTTTTCGCTTTATCTTGTACCCAGACCAATTCAGTCTAAGTAGGACTGGGGTACCACTGTTGGGTATCCTTGTTGGGTAGTCCACTGGTAGGAAGAATGAATTTTCTAGTAGGGTATGGATCTCGATATTGTCTTGGCCAGTTCCGGCGTGTTTGGTTTTTCGTTTTTTTCGTGATGTTTCTCGTGATTTTGTTTGTAGGAAGGAATTGACTGGTATATAGGCAATCATTGCAAAGTTTTCGACCTCTTCAACGGGACTAACGTCGCGCGACGCCCTTGAGCGTCCAGACGCGTGAGGGTTGAGCAGATGGGAGTGGGCAAGGGTCTGCATGGTTAGTACGGGTTGGTAGGTGGTAAACCTCCTGAAGACGACGGCGTGGCTGCCGTCGAAATGCGTCGAGGACGCCGATCTCAAGTGTTAATTCTTTCAATAAGATTTTCCAATTGTCTGATACTGTGCTAGGCGTTTTGTACGCTTGCGTACTCATGTTTTATGCATGCAGTGTGATTCTATACCTGACTGCTACCCAACCCACAACGACCTGCCCTATGTCCCGTGCCCTTAAACCACCAGTACCTCCGAATCTCTTTTTATCGACCCTGAATTTCACCGCGCTTTGAGTTTTGTTGAGCCTCTGTACCACTTTATTTTCTTTATGGTACTCTCACAGGAAGAGGAGGAGGGGGGGAGTTGTGGCTGTAAAACTAACAAAAAAAAGAAACAAAGCTCTGATCGTGATTGCAGTTGTATTCCATTCTTGGAAGTGGTAGTGTGGTTGTGCCCTTAGTGAGGGCATCTCAACCCCGTGACCATATTGTCTGATTAAAAAAAAAAAAAAAAAAAAAAAAAAAAAAAAAAAAAAGATGAAACACGGTTTCGACCGTGAAAATGACTGGATACATTCCTCTAAGTGTCAATCTCATCAGGGTTACAATCCTTTCGGGAAACACAACTTCAGCAGATCACGGATTCCGCCCTGCCTCGTTGGTAGGGTACGCATAACAAACACACAAGAAAGCAAAAAAAGAAAACAACAACTTTCAGAATGTGACCATGTTTGCTATAAGATGCATTCTGTAGAGGAAGAGTACGTGGACGACTTCCTTTACTTACCCTGCCTGACATCATTGCAGTACAAAAAGGTTTCCTTTTTTTCCCTTTTCCTTTCATGGGCGGGCAAAAGAAAACAAAGATTTATGGGACTTGCCGACCCTGGGTCCCACCCTCGAATTCTTTGGGAACAAGCTAAAACTCGTAATTTCCCAACACTGACAGAGGTACTAATGGTTTAAGGCTTGGAGCATGAAAGACAAGTGTACCCCCTTGTACGCTTTCTCGCAGTCGATGGATACCAGGACTACCTTGTAACCGGCGGTATTAGCCATGTCAAGCACCTGCTTAGCCAACATTAACGATGTGGAGATCTGCCTCTCATACACAAATATAGTATGGGACAACTGGATCAGCAAGGGGGTCATGGTGGCCAAACGAGCGACACAAATCTTACATAAAATCTTATAATTAGCATTAAGGATCGTGATAGGCGCAAGTTGCGGATGTCTACCCTATCTTTTTTTCTGAAATGAGAGTAACATACACCTCCACAAATCCTCCCGAAAAGCATCCCCCGCAAGAGCCTTGTTGCAAGTATCGACCAGGTAATGATCAAACAACTATGGCAACTACTTAAACATTTTGAGCAACATGTCGCCCGGACCTGGTGACTTCATACAAAGGGAGATCCAAAATAACTCTCCATACTTCAATCGGTGTGATCAGCTGGCCCAACTCATCCCTCTGCGCCTACGACACCATGGCCTGAATAGAGCTACACACCGCCTGCTGTGGTTCATCCGCCATATCCTCGGACGTCCACTGCTACTCCGAGAACAGAAAACGATAGTATTGACCCGCATTATCCAATATTGTCGGGAAGGTAGTGGCTCATTAGGTTTTGAATGTAAT